ATAATGTATTGAGATCTCATTAGTTTCAGGTACCTTTTCCACTTCAGGGAATAACTCTTCAGGAGATTCCTCTTGTGGAGGTTTATAAGTAGGAGATTTGGATAGACTTACTATAGCCTATTTTGTGGTTCTAGCCTCTTCATGAGTGCTTTCATTTATAGATATGATCTCTTCAAGAGATCCAGTTATGGTCTCTTCTAGAGTACCAACTTTTTGTTCTTGAACTTTCCTTTTTCGAGGAATTTTGTTTTTTGCACTAACGGGTCTTCCATGCTTTTGGCATGCCTTAGATTCATTTACTGCTTTGCCTATTGATTGTCCGACAGGGACATCAATTTTTGCTGGGATATTAGCAACTGGTATGTAAGATTTTGTCACATTCTTTTGTGTCAATGAATGCATCCGGTAACTGATTTGCAATACTTTGCAAATGAATGATCATTGAACTTCTAGTTCATATTGATTAGTACGAGGATTAAGATGAGATAACATCAAAGTATTCCAAGTGATTTCTTGTCGAGCTTCAAGCTGCGACTTGTCTCTTCCTAATGATGGGAAAATTGTTTCATCAAAATGACAATCCTCAAATCGTGCCTTAAACACATCACCAGTCAAAGGTTCTAGATATCTCACGATTGATAAAGAATCAAAACCAATATAAATTCCAAGTCTATGTTGTGGACCCATCTTAGTACGCTGTGGAGGTGCAATAGGGACATAAATAGCACAACCAAACACTCTAAGGTGACTAACATTTGGTGGTTGGCCAAATACAAGTTGTAATGGTGAATACTCATGATATGCAATTGATCTGACATGAATCAAAGATGCTGCATGCAATATAGCACGATGCTTCTAGCTGCGGTCTGGTGCCTGTCCACCTACATATATATATGAGCAGTGAGCTAAAGCCCAGTGAATAACACAATGCGTAAAGAGGTTAAGAATGAATGTCCCTATAGTAATGAAAACAGTTCATTAAATCAGTATTTCAATCGTTCAGTCAATACAGTCATATGTGGTACATCCATTAACATAACAGTACAGTAAACAGTAGGTCTTAAAAGACCGAACAGTAAGTGATGGCCATCAATCAGTAAACAGTAGTGGTTCCAACAAGGGAACTGACAGAGATCTCTGTAACAGTAACTGTCAGCAACAGTAGTTGCTAAGGATGCCACAATACAGTTCAGAGTAGAGGACATACATTCATTCAGTTAACAGTAATCAGTTCAGAAAGCAGTACAGTTCAATCGTTCAGAAGATAATCATTTTGAACATATCTTTACACAGTTGTTACTCACAGAGTTCTGGGCTACAGTAAAGCTAGAGCGCGTCCCCAGTCGCCAACCCTACACAGTTACAGATTGAACATACACTAACCTACATAGTTAGGAAAATAATAACTTAATCCCGAATTTGCCTCGGTGTGTTCTACATCTATATCCTCATTAAGATGCCTTAAACTAGGCCTAAGAATGACTAGGATGAGATGAGGATGCAAAGATGCACTTGAAAAATATTTTCAGAATTTTCAGAAAACAGGGGTCACGCTCGAGCGTAGGTTACTCCGCTCGAGCGGACATGCAGACAAAGGTTTCCGCTCGAGCGTAGACTTACCCGCTCGAGCGTTCTGCAAAACAGTCAAAAATGCTGGATAGGCAAAAATCACGCTCGATTGGGCGCTCGACACCCGCTCGAGCATGAGACACAATGTCCCGTTCAAGCGTCAATTATTCCACTCAAGTGGACTTCAAAACAGAACAAAATGCTGGGAGCACGATTTCCACGCTCGAGCGCCAGTCACCCCGCTCGAGCGTGAGTCCAAATTCTGAAAATTCCAGATTTGAACCTCAAGCTCAAAACCAAGTTTTAAACCATAAATTTCGATCCTCTTGAGCCAATTTTCCAGAAAACACATCAAAACTCATACTTTAACATGATTCAAAGCTCAATTTGTAAAATCGAGGCCCAAGGGTGTTACAAACAACTCAATTTGAAACCAATTTTCATGAATATGAAGAACATGCAAACATGCATGAATTTCAACCATTTCAAAGCTCAATTTCATGCTCTAATGAGCCAATTCCTTCCAAGGACAAGATGAAAACATGGACTTAACATAACTATGAGCATGCATGTGACAATTCTCTATGGAATCAACTCAAAATTCAACAATATAGGCATGCATGCATGGATTAAGCTATAATTCAACAATTAAGAGCCATAACTTGGCTCTAGACTTCAACTTGCTCAAAACCATGCAAGAATCAATTCAAAACATACACAAGAGGCAATGAATCTACCTTAGGTCTTGTAGTTCAAGATGTACAAGCTAAATTTTGCAAAGAACTCTTCAATTTACTTCAATTACCAAGCAAAACTCAAGATGAAGCTAAGCTTTCTCCTTTCTCTCCCTCTCTCTCGGTTAAGTGTCACTCAATGGCTGATGAAATGTTTGTATAAGGCTCAACAATAGTCCAAGTAATGGGTCACTAGGTGGCACTAATGTAAATAAGGCCAACTATGCAATTTATCAATATTTAATCGAATTTAATCATACCAAATGAGTTATCAGATAAATATGCCAATGATCATAGAACATCAATCAATTTCAGATTCGGCCGCCGATAAGGCCTTCAATTTCGCAAATTAACCATAAAAACACGAACAGATCAATTAACAAGCAACAGATAAAAATACATTTAAACAGATACAGTCAATCAATCAGTTTCAAATTTCAGTCAGTTAGTTCAGTATTTCAATCAGTTCAATTACTTCAGTTATCAATCACAATCAGTCTCAGTTTAGCAGTAATCAGTGGTTAATCGGTAAATAGTGACGAGGGTTGTTACAGATTCAATGATTACTTTTGTGGGTGATGGTCTAGTAATTAGTTTCCCTTGTGAATAGGCAAAATATGGATAATTACTTGGTAAAAGAATCTTCCAATTCTTTAATGGATGTCCATGTGAATTTTTATTATTCGACGCGTCATTATAAATCTTGGATGCTTGAGTCGGCCATGCCATAGCATAAACATTTTTGGGTCAGAGCACTTCTAGTGCATTACAATATGCGACTTAATCATTTTTATCGTTGTATAATGAAAATGTAAGAAGTTTTTCTAATACTAGCTTCTGCCTAGAATTAATTGAAGTAATCAATAAATACTCTTCTTGGCCTTTATTTATAGTTTTAATATGACAACCATTATGACGTATATCTTTGAAACTTAACAGATTTCTTTTGGATCTGATAGAAAACAAAGCTTAATCAAAACAAATTTCTATTCCATTTGGAAACACAATATTAGCTCTTTCGGAGCCCTCGATTAGGTTTGCAGAATCTGAAATTGTATTGACATTAGCTTTTCCCATGATTAACTGTATAAAATATTTTGCATCACGCAAGATTGTATATGTGGTTACACTGTCCACCAAAGAGATATCATCACCAATCATTATTGAATTAGTTAATACATTAGTAAAATCTATATCTATAAACAACTAATCATCATTTTCAAAACATGATCAAACAAAAAAATACAAACTCCAAAATCATCACTAAAACAAATATAATATTTAGAAATCAATATGAATATTTTCATCACCAATAATATTTCCTTTTATTGAGGCTTTCTACCCAGAAGGCAAACATTCCACATCGAAAAGATTTCTATAGTAAAATATTGTTGATAAATAGTATTTCGAGAAAAATGTCAAAAAGAATGCACAATAATGAATAGTGAATTACTAGGTGAAATTTGTCAAAAGATGAATATTAATTATTTATGCACAATAATCACTCACTTTTCTAGCAAATTTGTTTGCTATGCAATATGCACCATGCATATACAACATGAATACATACATCATTCTTGGGAGGTTTTATTACATGAACTTTTCTCTTTTTCCTATAATATCTCAAGATTATTCCATTTCAAGTGGAATGACATGATATTTTTGCGCGAATGTTTCTGAACATGTCTTCCATGAATTTTGTAATTTTATCTCAGCCATGTCCAAAACCATGACTTCTTCCTCGTCCACGATCATGAAATGTAACCTCATTTACTTCAGGGAATGGAGCAGAGCCTATTGAACGGGATTGATGATTTTTAATAACTACTTAGTTTGTTTAGCCACGAGAAGGCATGAAATCAGTTCAAAGTACTTTATAAATCGACGCTTTTTATATTGCTACTACAGGAGCACATTATCAATGTGAAAATTTCAACACACATTATATAGATTGTATTCACTAACTGATTTATAATTTTACAACTTCAGGTGCAACCAATTATAAGGAGCTTTTTGGGAAGGATTACGGTCTTCTAGTATTCGTATTTCTCCTTCAAATTGTTCCACAAAATAAGTGAATCTGTTACCATGAGGTATTCAATTTTAACAGTGGCGAATGAATATCATTGCATTTGCGCAATCCTTCAAGGACGCTTCATTTTCATTTTTAATGGCATCTCCAAGATTTATTGCCTCAAGATAGATTTCAACATCAAATATCCAAGATAAATAAATTTCCTGAGATATCAAGATCTATGAATTGTGATTTTGAAGGATTTGACATATTTATGCACTCAACACAAGAATAATAATATATTTAGTATTACGTAAATATATGAAGAAAAATATAGAATTAGTCTTATAATTTTTTCGAAATATCATGATCATTGAATTCTAATTTTGAAAGATTTGACATATTTGTACACTCAACTCACCAAAAATAATATATTTAGTGTTACGTGAATATATTATGAAAAATATAGAATTAGCCTTATCATGAACTGCTCTTATAAAATATTTATTCAGAATTTATTTATACTTACCTCAACCACTTTGTAGAAAAATTACACCAACCTTATTTGTATGTGATTTAACTTTTCATTCTCAACTAGCCAGAATCTTGTGTTGATAACATGTTATAAAATTAAAGCAATAGAAGAGAAAATGAAAGCTAAAGAGAATACTAAGGAATCCGTATCAAGAGAGTAAATATTACTTTTCATTCAATCTTATGCATACCAAAATATTTTGAGCTTTCTCGTCTTATTTATTACTATTGCCATCAACATTAAAACCTCAAACATTTGTGCAGAAGTACTGACAAAGGTAATCAAAGTTTTGGATAATCAAGTTGAACCAACTGCAATGAATATATCACACTCGAACAAACTTCCTCTTACTTCCAACACAAAGCGGGGTCCCATTCTACCCTGAAACTCTGAACTAAGTCAAAAAGTGTTTCTCTGGTAAAATATCTGTACATTCATGCATTCTCTGTCAGATTAGTTCAAGCCACCACAACATCATCCTTCCTTGTCACCACACAAAAGTGCACCCCATTGCTAACTTTACTCACCCAGTTCTTCATCGTTCTTTGGCCTAAAGCATTGCTCATATGTTGCACCATCCTTCAACCAAATATGTGCAGACTCAAATATGAATGCCCAGATCTATTCATTGACATTGTGCTGAAACAAACTTGCATCATCATTATCATCAGGTGGGATATATTACATCATAACCTTGAGCGACGAATGCATTTAATAGGATTCATGCACTTGATAGGATTGAAAGGTGAATGCCATCTTGAGGATGAGGGTGATGACCTTAAATCCCAACCTTCAACATTCTTCGGAACACACACATCAAAAAGGATTTGACCAAGAACCCCATCAGCTTTGATACGAGGTGGGCTTGACACACGGATCAAGCCTTCTTTATGAGCATCCTGCATAGACCCAATGTTTCTGTCCTCGTGATACTCCACTGAACTGGGCACAAAGAAATGGTCATTCAGCTCAAGAGCAACTCTCTGAAAGCTCTGGTTTGAGGTCATTGCTGCTTTCTTCAGCTTGTAAAATGGTTCGGAGATCTCATCCTGCGTACCCTCAAAGCCCATGCCCTCTCCTTCCAGTTGTCTAATTCTATTAGAATAAATTACAGCAGCCTTTCCAAGTAGCTCAGTCACAGCAGCCTTGTAGTCAATTGCGTAATGCCGATAATGACCTATGGGACAGTGAAGCAAGTGAAGAGAATATAAATTAACACAAAATATTTATATATAATTTTACAAAAGGAAAAGTTAGCACAAGAAATTGAGTGGCAAGGAAATTTTTCTTCACGAAAACAAACCTTTTTGCTCATTGGACATATCTGGATGATTAAAAGAAGAATATTAATATGTTATCAACATTAAGGTGTTTTTCTTCCCTTAGTAACCCAATTTGCCCAATTGGGTCCACGCTCCCATTCTAATTCATGATTTTGAGAATTCCAAGCAAATTTGCTATGAATTCGTGAATTATTCTTCTGAGCACATGTATTCACAATGCTCTCAAGTATTGAACTGAAATTTTACCATCTAATAATGGTTTACTTGCAAATGTCAAATCACTTATTTATTAAATTAACAATGGAGTTTGACCAAAGGCATAAGATAGACATGCCCATACAATATTCATTCTCCTATGAAACATCAAAAGACTTAGCGGCATCAAACCAATTACCTCTCCCTGCATAAAAAGACTACTTACTGTTCGGCTAAGTTATAGTGGTTTTGCTATATTGCCATTTATAAATATTAAACATACAGATTTCTACAAGAGTCTACTTAAACTACTCATGAATTTTACAATACACGTCGTCATATCTACAAAACAGTTATTTACAAAACAGCTGTAAACACTGTTTTGTAAAAACTGCTGCCAATAAGGAGGCTGTGGTTACAGACCATTGAGTTGGTGTCTCTGGGATAGTGTAACGCCCATTTGCATAAGAGGTTTTGAAGATTGGGAGGTGGGGTCTTTGGTGGATCTTCTTGAACTTCTCTTTATTGCATGGTTGTCCACTCAAATGGAGTCAATAGAATGGGGTGGAAGCAGGCCAATAAGGTACTTAACCTTGATATCTGGGGAGAGGTGCAATTCTCGTCCCTCAAAGATTATGTGGAAGTCAGGACTTACAACAAAAGTGGTGTTCTTTTGTTTGAACAGCCGCTTTAGACTCTATTTTGATGATGGATATCTTGACGAAAAGAAGCTTTAGTCTGCCTAAAAGGTGCTTGATGTGTTGACGAGTGGAAGAAACAATGGATCACCTTTTGATACACTGTAAGGCAGTGGGAGAGTTGTGGAATATGTTGTTTTCTATTTTTGGGATCAAATGGGTGACGCCAGCAAATGTTCTGAAGCTTTCGGAGCATTGGGGCAGTTGTTGATGGCACCTTCATGTATTGCTCATCAAGAGAAAGGAACAGTAGGACTTTTGAAGACACAGAATTGGGGATTCAAAAGCTGCAGTTGTGTTTGTTGGACATTTTTCATTTTTGGTATAAAGAATTTTTTGCAAATCCTCCACCCTCTGGTATATTTTATAGGAGAGCTCAACTTCAGTGTAGAGCTTTTTTTTTATCTACATTTTTTTTTTGGTACAGGCTATGGCCTTTTTGACATATTTTCATACAATACTTTATTTACTCAAAAGATTAGAAAACAATTGATACATAATACTCACATTTAGTATATACTGATCTACATATATAGGCGCTCTGGAGGTACTCCCATTCTCAAGGTATTTTTACTATGGGCGCTTTATTGATCTCAGTAATATGTACATACTTCTTTCGGGCTTGGACGTGTTTTACTTATCTTGGACCAGGCTTGGTTTGAAAACACAACCCGAAATGAACTTGGGCTGACCCAAGCAAAGTTTTTGTCAACCTGTGGCAGACTGAGTCCAACTGTTTATATTTATCTATTAATCCAGTCAGATAAAATCAACTGGTAGCAGTATAAATTACATATGCACACATGGGATTATTATGCCTTAATATGACCCAAGATGTGTATGGTTTCAATTTCCTTGATGAAACCACCACAAACAATCATTATGGCTCCCACCTCAACATTGCTGCAAGCACCCATGACAATCTACATAAATTTCTATTCCCCTTAACAGCCCACAAAATACTTGTTGGAATGTGTCTCACATAGCCTGAAGTTGCCCCATGTGTGCTAGTTATAAGGTTTTAGTTTCCCTCTCCTTAATACCTGGGTTTTAAGGAGAAGTGTAAGGTTGGGCTGTTCAATTTGATATCAGAACTTTGTTGGATCTGTGACTGGTGTGCCGTTTGTCCAGCTAGTGTATGTTGTCGTCCAGGAAGCTATGTTAATGTGTCCCATATAGCTTGGAGTTGTTCCATCTGTGCTAGTTATAAGGTTTCAGTTTCCTCTCCTTAATACCTGGGCTTTAAGGAGAAGTGTAGGGCTAGACTTTTCAATTTAGTATCAGAGTTTGGTTGGGCCTGTGGTTGGTGTGCCGTTTGTCCAACTAGTGTATGTTGTGGCCTAGGAGACTGTGTTGAAATGTGTTCCACATAGCCTAGAGTTGCCCCATCTGTGCCAGTTATAAGGTTTCAGTTTCTCTCTCCTTAATACATGGGCTTTAAAGAGAATTGTGGGTTAAGCTTTTCAATTATACTCTCTCTCCTATTAGAATTTTGTGTGACTGTGTGCAAATATATGTATGGAAAACAAAAATGACATTTCAAAATATTAAGCGAAATTATATCAGCCAAGACTCGGAAATATCTGAAAATAACAGTATATAGAAAAAAATAACGTATTCTGAGTTTAGAAGTTGACAGATGTGGTTGAAAGCCCTATATTCATTTTGATAAATTCTTCAATCAATCATTTCAACCTCAAATCCCAATTTAATGCTACCAACCCAATCAAACCGGAAAATTCCCTAGCTTCCCAAAAAGCCTAAACCAATTCGATAAGCTAAACCTCCAGCTGAAGGTCAGGTTCAGTTGGGCCTAGGCTAACCTTCATAGAGCTTGAGCTGAGCCTGGGCAAACCTATAGCTCGACAAAACTTGACCAAGTTGCAATCCCATATTCAGCAGCTAACATGGTGTGTAACAAGGTAAATATACCCCAAACAATGGAAATAACATTTAGTTAAGGATTTGGAGCAGACCTACGTGAGGAGAGCTATTCCATTTCACTAGTTTGACATCTCCACCAAGGTCATGTAGTCGTTGAGCGAAATTGCAGATAATTTGATAGGGAGCAAGATCATCATTTTCTGAACACAAAATAAGATAGGGAGCCCCCATGCTCTGCATAGGAACAATTGTGAATAAAAAAGCAAAAAAGGAAAACAAAAACATTAAATAGAAGTACATCTGATGAATACTAACCACGGAGGCATACAGAGTCTGCCAATACTCAGCGCGCTGTGATTCAAATCTGCTGAGGAAGAGGGAGTCCAAACTAGAAGCAATGCCATTTGCAATCCATGATGCTAGTTGTGAAGGTTGGGACATCTTAAGGACAGTTGGGTGTAGAACAAACCGAGTACCCAAGTCACTGGTAAAATCAACTGGACTCGAATCATAAATGTGTCCAGAAACACAATGTCTAACCAGTCGGTATTCATCCTATCGCAAGAAAAACAAACTATAAGATGGGAAGAGCCATGTAATGAAGTTTTCCAACTCTAATTACAGAAACACCAAACAAATAATTGCCTAAATCCAGCAATAACTACCAAGAGAGAAATCTTTTATCCTGGTCATGCTAACCAAACAAATAATTGCCTAAATCCAGCAATAACTACCAAGAGAGAAATCTTTTATCCTGGTCATGCTAATTTGGCCATTGTATGTAACATTGTTCCATACACCAAGTCAACTAGATAATGTCAATTGGAACAACACCACATGATAGTAGCTGAATTTTTTAGAATATATATATATATATATCAGAGGGGCGGGGGGTCAAACATTGAAAAGTAAAGCATACCAGATTGAGTTGCGCTTCAAACTTCCCCTCAATTATCTGAAAGAAATGAGAAAAAAAAATGGTTATATGGTGAATTATATATGCAGACAAACAAGGAAAATGAAAACATTCAGCTTACATACATGATCATGTAAGCAAGCATCCAACAAAATTACCTGAAGAACCTTGTACATGCATGCCTTTGGACCACCAGAAAAGGACGCAAAGACAATAGGACATGGCCTCAGTTTTAACTCCTTCGCATACAAAATAAAAGTGAAGCATAATTAGTAGAAATCGAAGACCACACAAACACACACAAAATATTGTATCTTGATGATTGTTGAGTATTAACCAAACAAAAAGAAAAAAGAAAAGGGGCACCATATGTTACACGGACTCTTCAAACTAAATCAAATACCATATCCAACACCTGGCACTTGGATAAGGGTATGAGATACGTGTTGGATACTGTTCATCGGACACTTTTTATATACTTATATTGAACACTATTATTATATATACATGTTGTATAATTGTTATAAATGTCTTTTTGATATTGTATGTTACATATATATTTTCTCTCACATAATAGATTAAAAATATAAAAATATGACGTTTTTTGCTGAGTCCGCAGATCCTCAAATTTAAGGTATGATGAGTCTGATCTCTAGACCCACACCCACACCCAATACCCATTCCCGAGTCCATGTAACATAGGGGGCACCTCTTTTCATTCAAGATTGCATTACAATATGGAAGCAGCTTTCTTAGGGAGCCAGGAAATATGGAAATGAAAATAACAGAATTTTACTAACTAAATATTAATTTTTCGTCTTCTTTTTGGCTATTTTAAGGGCTCTCGGTTTAAGTCTCAAGGTGTTTGAACACCAGGCTAGCCTTGCATGAGATTCTGGCCCCCTAGACATTCACTTAGAATATCAACGGATCAACCATACAAGAGTCATTCAATTGTAATTGATGAACTTCCATAAGACTTAATCCCATGGGAAAATAAGAAACAATAATTCAAAATTATTATAGCACTGACCTTGACAAGCTCATTAAGAATTTCAAATGCCAATGACGTAGCCTTGTCAGGGAAGAATCTGCAAATATTGTTGACATTAATTTCATGATGTCAAAATGTAAACGAAGTAAAACAGAAAAGCATTAATCAAAAAGGTAAACTGTTCCTTCAGTCCAATAAAAGCATGCCAAGATGTTGGAAACATGATGAAATTCTAAGTCAACCTTAAGTTTGATACTTCTATTCCAAAAACTCTGTTACTTAATTTGCAATATTTTTCCCATCAGTGTAGAATTACTTTAATCACATAGTTGATGATTGTATTTATATTTGTATGACATCTTTCAACAGCACCTTTTTCACAGCTTTCCTGATCTCACGCTGCTTATATTATAGTATTTGCTAAAATTAGACACATACTCTATTTGTTTAAAATCCTCATTGGCATAGCATTTATAACATATATGCAGTTGGTTATTCCATTTTGGCCCTAGCACTAAAGTACATAATAGATGGCATATGTGCACAACATCCCCCCAGCTAATTTTCACACCTTATGAGACCTAAAATTCCACCATTACATGAGATAGTAAACTTTTTAGTAATTATCTGAGTTGGCAATACATTTGTTCAAGCATGTGCTTAAGTTAGTGGCATACCACGACTTGACATCCACATTGGCAGTTCTTATCTGGGTGAGATAGTAGATTAGGTTACAATTTACAATGAACTGACAATGAGAATAGTAATATTTTCTGGTTTTATATTTATGCTAACATTCAATATTACAACATTACTATAAATGGTATGCAAAGATATTTGTTCTTTTTCGAATTTTTAGGGCCAACATTTGAGGATTCGAGAACACATCAGATATTGGCACCTGTCTCAATTGTTCCATGAGGTGCTTAAAGAAAGAAACATGATTTTCCTCCCTTGCCAGTAAGGGAAAGCTCCAGAGCACATTTATTTGCATTGATCAACAAATGCCCATTGGTTCCATTTGGATAGACTACAGACCTAGTAAACAGGACATCAACTGTGAAACCTAAACATCAATTCCAGATTCAGGTGTTCACATATCAGTTTATATTACAGGACAACACACCCAACCAACAACCAGGAATCCAACTTCCATTTACGCTCTGTTTGTTAGGCGCATTTTCTACTGTTTGGTACAACGGAAAATAAAAATCAATGGAAAACATTTTCAATAATCAATGACAAACAAGCTTATTTGGACGGAAAATCCGAACCAAAGTTTTTATTGGTGCCACCACCACATTACCACCACTACCATCACTGCTACCATCACCACCGTCTCCGCCAACACCTCACAACCACCATCAGTACCATCTCTACATCATTACTACCGCCACCACCACTATCCCCAACACCTTCACTTTCACCTCCACCCTACAACCACCACTATCACTACCGCTAATACAACCATTAATACATTAATTTTAAAAACACAACCAAACATAAGAAAACGTTTTCTATGAAAAATGTTTTCCAAAAAAATTTTTTTAGAAAATATTTTCCGTCAAAACAAATGCAGTACCAGCTCCACATTCAAGCACTAGATCGATAACATTTAAATAAGTGAGAGATGATTCTCATTCCTCAGTGACTTTTTTCATCAAGCGCCTCCCTCAATAAACCTGCCTCAATAGAGCCATAAAGCTAGTACTCATTATTGAAGAGAGGAACATTATTCTCGGAACGCTAACAGATAAAATCACCACATGCAAAAATTATCAAGTGCCCGTATAATATGATGTTAAATAGTTAACATCCTCCAATCATATTTCTGAATAAATACTCCAAACATCAAAGTCCCAAATTTTTACAAATCCAAAACCCAAGCTAGGTCAAACTCTTCCGTATCAAAAAAAAATGATAAAAGAGTAAACTTTAACTGATCAAAACAATACAAAAAGAATGGGAATGGAAAAGAAACAGTGAATATAGAGGAGGGAAATTAACATACAAATTGAGGAATTGGGAATGGCATACGAGGGAATTCCAGCCGAGAGAAGAGTAAAGTTGGGTGTAATTGTTCAAGTGACGGTCTTGACTGGACATCCATGCGAAAACCACCACAATTCCTTCCACTTTCCCAGCTTCTCTTCTTCCCCAGTAGTACCTACCCCCTAATCCCCACATCTTCACCTCACTCACCTTTCTCTCCCTAATCCTCTCTGCAAATTTGTCACCGATTTTTCCAAAAACCTTTCAATGCCCCCAAACCAAACAAACTAACTTCAAGAAAGCCAATACTTCAATTCTATGCCAGCTTCGTATTCCCTTCTCAATAAACTATACGTACCAGAGAGAGATTGATACAGAGAAGAGGAGGTAAAACCATTTGCAGCTTTATATAGTAATAATACTAATAAATGGATGACGATGATGACTAAGCTTTTTCATGGATGGTATGCGAGGATTGCCAAATTTTCGTGTGATTATTTAGCGATTTTATGGCATTTGATTGGGTGAATTATTTAGTGATTTTATGGCATTTGATTAGGTGGATTAGGAGATGGAATTGAGATTATTAATTGGTTAGCTTAATTATTTCAGGTTTGTTTTAAATATTTTAATTTATGATTATTAATTTAATGGATAATTAATTCAATAAATTTGTAAGATTATTAGTAATAGGGTAGGGGTGAGGTTATTAATCCAATGGATATTAATTAAATTGAATAATGAATATCACACTAATTTAATAGGATTATTAATACTTCACTATTAGTCTTGTGAATCAAACATGCATTATTTTGGGGGCCATCTGCAAACATGAATATAAAGTCAAAAATTAATTTTTAATTTATTTTAGATCACATTATTTTTTATATAAAAAAAATTAAAAAAATTAAAATTTAAAAGTTAATTTTTAACTATTTTTTTAAAACACTTCTTTGTATTAAGAACACATTGTGGACCTAATCCATTACTAAAAGTTGGATAGGGACCTTAAACCGATTTTCCCTATATATTATTCCATGAGATTAAAGAATGAAATGATACGATTTTATAGTTTTTAAATCATAATTAAAAGAATTTATAATTAAACAATATATGAAATATAATGAAATATCTTATGAGTTATTATTAAAATAAAGTTATAATAAAAAAAATTAATTATAATTATATAAGAAAAATTATATAAATTAAGGGTGTATTTGATCATAACTAAATAAGAAAATTGGTTAAATTAAAGGGGGATGCACCAATAAATCCCAAATTAATAACTTATACACTGTTTAGTCCTAAAAGTTTTCTTATAGACTGAAAGGTCCCATTACAATGTTTCAAATATCAGATTAATGTTTTGAACATTAGATTTCGAACATCAGATTAATGTTTCGAACATTAGGTTTCGAACATTAGATTTCGAACATCAGATTAATGTTTCAAACATTGGATTGATGTGCAAATGGGACTAAATGGAGCATAACAAAACTTTTAGGACTAAATGGTTCAACTTTTCAAAAACTAAGACTTATGGGTAAATTTTCCTAAATTAAAATTAGTAATACTATAAATTTAGATTTAACTATTTAAAAATTACTCAGAATTATCCTCTTGTATTTAAATGTATTTTATAAATAGACTTCACACTATACAAATTTAATTTCCATCACACAATTATTTATCCAGAAAATTTTAGATAGATAAGTTTGGGTTATAAATTTACTTCAAACTATCAAATAAAATTACCATTCATTACTAGTAATAATTACAAATTTATAGAAAAAAATTATAATTTTAAATATTAATAATTATAAAATTTATTACTAATTAATAATTATTTTTATAAATATTAATTAGTAATTATTTTTTATAAATATTACTGATGTGATATTTTCTTATAATTACACCCACCTTTTCTTAGCTTTTTGACTACACCCACCTTTTCTAAGCTTTTTGACTACAATCATTGGCGTTGCATTCCTTCTACTGGCCCCAACACGTGTGCCACGATTATTGTAAGAGCATTTGCATCACTCATAATAAATTTTAAATTAAATTATAATCTAAATCTATTTTTTATTTTAATTAATCTCTTTTTTATATATACACACAATCAAGCTCTTTACTCTAAAATTCTATTTCATTAAAATATTATGAATAAACAAACATAAACAAATCAAATGTAATTTTTCAAAATAATTACATACTCATAAAAAAAATATGACTTTAATAATAAAATTTGTCATTAATTAATTTTTTTCTAAGTATACATCAATTTTTCATTTTTTCTTATTTTTTACATGATTAGCAGTACTACAGTACCTCGCTAGAAGTAACTAGCAGCTGTAGCTCCATATTAAACTACAAAGCATGGAGCGAGGCTGTTGGAACAAATTTTCTCATACTCATAAAAAAAATTATGACTTTAATAATAAAATTTGTCATTAATTAATTTTTTTTCTAAGTATACATCAATTTTTCATTTTTTCTTATTTTTTACATGATTAGCAGTACTACAGTACCTCGCTAGAAGTAACTAGCAGCTGTAGCTCCATATTAAACTACAAAGCATGGAGCGAGGCTGTTGGAACAAATTTTCTTTTATTTTGCTTGCTATTTCCACTAAAAGTAAGATTTAACAAGATTGATGGAGATGCTTTAAGAGCGCATCTTATTAAAACGAATGCTAAGCAAGTGTCTGTTATGTAACCAAGGTAATAGTGCACTTGGTAAAGGTTTGGAAAGAATAATGATGCATAGTGGTGTTTTGAAAAGTTGGTAAAAAGTTATTTTTTAGCTTTTTAACTTTTTTTGTGGTTTTTTTGGAAAAAATTTGGATATTTTTTTTGGATAAAAAAGTTAAAAAGCCAAAAAGCTGACTTTTTTAGCCTCTTCCCAAATAGCCATAGTTCTAATTTGAGAGATCTAAATGGAGCTTTAGTGAGGTTGTTAGAAATTGGGCGCACATGTGGCATGACCCTTTGAACCTTTTGAACTTGAACTTTTTGAACCTTATCCATATAAGTTTGAATTTGAATTCAAAACTTATTTGGATAACCATTCAGGATATCTGTATCTATCATATCAATAGCTATAGATAGATGGATAGATAGATATTGGTGGATATATATCTGATTATATATTTTAGATAATATATTGATATATCAGATACGTTATGTGATTTTTACCTATAACCTGTTTTCCCAGACACTCTCTCTGACTCTCTCCCATTAAACAACGATCAAGCCATTTTGCACTGTGACTTGTGTGGGTGATACTCATTTTGTAGTATCACTCCACTGTTGGGTTCGTTGTTCAGTTTCTGGAAGCATGTGATTTACCTGCGAGGTTCTATCACCTAAAGGTATGATCTAAATGTTTTTCCCGTTGCGTTGTAATACTTTATGTTTTACATTGGTATCAGAGCCAATATGGGTTTTTTCATGCTTATTTTTATGCATTAAAATATGTGTATATTTTTATATAAATATATATACATGATATATGCATGAATATTAATAAATGAGGGAGATACCACTCTCATTAGATTAAGAGTGTAAAATACCTCTTTTTTATGTTCATTAAATATCATTTTTAATGCCATAAATGTATTTATTTTAGAAAATGGAGTCTGGCAGTACCGAAATTGGACAAGAAAATACCCTAGAAGGCGGCGCGTGGTTCATACGCGCCATCTGACGCCGTTAGCAACTTTCACGCGTTCTCACGCGCCACCACACGCTCTCACGCGCTGAGACGCGCTGTCTGCGTTTTTCACACGCACGTCGTCCGCGCTGCGCACGCGCGCGCCGGGTGATGAGCCACGCGCTGAGCCGCATGTAAAGCCGCTTGCTGAGCCGCGTGGTGCGCCGTGCGCTAAGCCGCGCCGTTTTTCCTCCGCGGCTTGGCTGCTGGTACTAAGGCGCTGTTTGTTTTGTTTTAAATTCTGAATCGCGTTAAATGGTCATAAGTAATTCGTTATAGTTTTGTTTTAAGCATGGTTGGCGTGGTTGGGACCATTAGACTCAGAATTAAATTTTCTATATTCTGTAAAATTTTCAAAATTTTATGAAAATAATTTTTTTTTCGTGAAATAATAATTTATTATTTCTGCTTTAAAATGCATCTGGTGTTGCATGATTAAGTTTCTGGGACTAAATATTTTATTGTAGACTACTGCTGTAGTTTACTATTTACTGGTATGGTTATTGCATTTTATCAGATTCTGAAATATTTATTTCTAATTTTATGTGTGTTTATTAGTTATTTAAAATTCCAGAAAATTCCAGAAAATTCCAGAAAATTTCAAAAATGATGTACACTTTAATTATGGCATAATCTGAATATTAAATACAGCATATTGTTATTTTTTGCCTAGGGTTTCTAAATGTTGTAATTAGATAGCTGAGTTAATTGTTAATTTTGTTTAAATTCCATTTATTAATTGTACATAGCAGATTGGTGTGGCATCTACATTATGATGCTATTGTATGAATTAAAATTTTTTTATCATCGCTTTAGACTGCCATAGTCAGTGGGAGGTTATTCGGTTGAGAGAAATCTTTGTAATTAACTCCCGAAAATCAATTTATTTGTGCATAAATTAAATTAATTTGGATAATGTCACCTTGTTGGCGCAAAGAGTGATCGAGCATAGCGACTTTTCGATCTGCTGGACTTGTGTAATTGTCACTATTTAATTTAGATTTTTGTGGCAAAGATTATATAGATGCTAATCAAAATTAATCCTAATGCGAATTTCTCTCTAAATTGACTTAGCTTATGGAAGTTAATTGGTTGACCTAGACTTAGTAGAGATGTTCAAATGTGAACAATGTAATCCTATTCTTTAGATGAGCAAAAGTCTTGGAGACTTTAGGTCAGACCTTAATTGAGCCAAAGTAAGGAAATATGACTCAAAGTCGCTGTGGTTTTGTTGCCTTGTTTGGCACAATAAAAACTAATGTGTGCGCTATGGTTAACGTCATGCTACGTAGTTTTGATTGGCGAGTTTTGGAGTTATGAAATTAGTAAGCCCTCAATAGATTTGTATATGATCTTGACTATTGAGCTGAGCGGATTGACTTTGTAATTTGACTTGTAATGATGTTGCATCATTGGATGAAGTAACATTCAAGAGTCATGCCATCCAAGAAATACGAGCTTAAATGAATTAGTCATTAAGTGTTAGATGAGTAGCCAGTATGAGCAGTGTTTTGCTCTTTTTCCAACTGTTGGGAGTGGATGGAGCAAAATTTCATGCATTATAATAGTGTGCATTGACGTATCACTTAAAGTTAAAAAATTAGCGCTTAGTAGCAGCAAAATCTATTAATCCTAAGTGAAAAGATTAGCGCCAAGTGGCTGCAAAATCTATTAGCATTGCCAACTTGTCTTAGGCTGGACACTTACTGTTTCCACACTTGAGTGTGAGACATAAGGAGGTGTTTCTTTGTATAATTCCTTAGCTAGGG